ATAGGATCTTCTCCTGTATTTTTATGTACACTAAAAACATTTATTAAGCATCGACTATGCATTAGGTGCTATGATAAGGACTGTGCATTCTAAGGGAACACATGCAGCTTAAAGTTTAGTAGGAATAAATAGTAATTCAAAGAAAAGTGATTGTTGGAAACTGAGATACTGATGGATAACATTTTATAAAATTCATATCCATGTCTACCTTGACTAATATTGAGCCTTGCTCAGTAGAAATAAGATTATGAGTATCTCTTCTTAAGAGAATGCCTTCAGTATTTTTTGGTTGCCTGGCTGTGGCACTTATTCTACCAGCTGCTAATACCTGATCGTGTTGGCACTATTAGCAATACTCTATACAACTATGGAAATACAAGACCTACTTTAAAACAATCTACATAATGTGACTCTGTGCTCTAAGCTGGTATTAAAAGAGACAAAGCTAGAGAAGAAAATGCTTGTAATCATATGGTAAAAAAAAAAAAAAAATACCACAAAGGAAGATGGTTTGATTAGAAATGCTCTGAAGTGAAAATTATAGAAATTAAAGGTCTTTTAATGCCTTCAATACTCAAAAATTTAATACAAAATATTTGAACATCTATGATGTATAGGGACATATGGTATGTGTAAATCTTCAGTTTTGTAAGGGGACAAATAGGAAGCATGTTGGCGATGACAGTACCAGACTGGAAATTAAGAAAACCTGACTTTAAAATCTAGTAAAATTATCCCAGGGAATAGAGTTGCTAAGACTAAACTTGACTCTCTGAGAGGGTTGTTGGGCCGGATCCAATTTTTTTCCTGGCTTGTTTAGCTTCCTTTCTTGGCCAAAGCCAGAAGTCTGAAAGTGGCATTGGCTTTAGGAGTAGAAAATTACAAAAAATTTCAGCAGGTTAGGACAGGAAAGTCATTTAATTTATGTATACATAAAAAGAGGAATAAGTAAAGCAAAAATATAGTGTTTACTTGTGGGCTGTGTGGAGTTCTCATTTTATCTGAATATTAGACTAGGTTATTGAATAGGTCATTCTTAGAGTCAGATTTGGTTCTTAGGTGATCATTCTTATAATAATATTATTAGATAGCAGCTAATTATTAGGGCACAAATCAGATGATTTATCTCCATGTTGGCACTAGACTGCTTCTTAATTTATGTTAATGCACGCTATGAGAAAGGAATAAGGAACAAAATTGATTATTAGTTTCCTACAGTTTTGCTTAATTTAATAGTCTTTATTTTTTCTTGAAAATTTTGATGCTAAGTTTGTATACTTTTCAGGGTTACCTAAAAACTTTTGCTCTTCAAATGTCTTCATTTTGTTTGATTTTTTTTGTTAGTTTTGTTTTGATAAAGAAATTATCTCGATTTCCCTTCATGCACTTGCTCTCTATATGACCTTGGGCAAGTCACTTATCCCATTCAAAACCAGTTTCCTCATCTGTAAAATGTTGACAGTTATATTCTTAAGAGTTTCTGAGAAGACTGACTCAGAGAATGTACGTAAAACTCTTAGCGTGGTACCTAGAAAAATACCATAAATACTAACTATTGCAAATGAGAAAAATAACATGATACTTTAAAAATGATCATTTTTACATACAAGTGTCGAGCACTTACTATGTTTTTATATTGTGCATTTCAAGCATTTCACAAATAGGATATCATGCCGTCTCCAACAACTAAGTACTATTAGTATCCAATTTTAAAGGTGAAAAATAATGCTAAACAGGGAAGTTAAGTAATGTCCTCAAGGTCATACCATCAATAAATGGTAGAAAAAAGATTCAAATTGTGTCACCCTAACTCTAGAGTCTATACTTGCATTCATTAAGCTGTACTTCTTCTTAATAGCAGTAATAGTTATAGAAGAGTGATGTCACGGCTCCAAATCGAACATTTGAAACAGAAAAAAAGGAAAGCTGGCAAAGATCTTCAAGGTAATAACCAAGAAAAATGTTTCGGTGTCTTAAGACAAGATCAGATATTGAAACCCTAGTAGGGATTTTGGGTAATACACTGCATACCAAAACAGCTACCTGACACTAAATAAATAAACAAATCAATCAAGGAAGCCAGTGTTGAATATGTGAAGTCCTCAGGCTCTTTGTGTGTCTCATCGGAAAAACTCACTGACATCTGACACACTGCACATGTATGAGGTTACCCTGAGAACAGGTGTGGTCAAAGGTTTCTAAGCCTTTATTAGGCTAAAATCTAGATCTGGCAGCTAAACAAAAATTGTCAACATTTCATGAACATGGCAAAAGAGAAGGGTATTTTGTAAAGCATGTTCTCTTAAAAAGGTATAACTATTTACCTCATATCATTAAGTATGATTTGACATTTCATATTAAATATCCCTCAAATTTAAGCAGTGTTAGCCTGGACCAACAGAGTATATGCACCATTGTCTCAGTCCTGCTAGTGACGTTCAAAAAAAGGCAACAATAATAATCAAGGCATTTTAGTACAATTTATAAGAGGAATCATGGAAACACCACAGAGGCAATATTGCAAAGTGGAGAAAAAAGTAGATTTGAATTTCATTTTTTAAAAAAATCTGACATTATTATAAAATAAATGGGAATTATAGAAAGTAGTAGTCAAATAATACTATAAGCCAACTTCAACAAAACTAAGGCAATTATATGACAGTGCTGGCATGCCATTGTGCTAAGATACTGTTCTACAGAGAAGCATCCAATCCAAACCTACAGCAAAATTTAATTCTGATCTCCCTTACTCTTGGTGGATAAGATACCTAACTACTAATTTCATTTGAAATTTTTAAGGAAAAAAGTCCTTCCAACATTCTAAAATTAGATTGTGGTAATGGTTGCATAACTGTAAATACACTGAAAATCATTGAATTGCACTCTTAAAATGGGTGCCTTTTATATTACGTAAATTGTATCTTGTAAGACCTGGTTTCAAAATGCTCCCTCTATTGGGAAGCTGGGGTTAGTCAGGTTACTAACTTGGAGGCCAGTCAGAAGATAAAAGAGTGTGAGTCTAGGAGATGGGTGAGGTCAGAGCAGTAGTTAAAGGTAACATAAGGTTCAACTTGGACAGCAATGATCAAATTATTTTTGCCTTGCTCTTTTCCCCTTAAAATAAAAGGGGCATAAGTAAATATATTAATTGGGGGGAAAAGTTCTTCCATGTACAACTACTTTTGCCAAGTCCACTGCTTAAAAAAAAAAAAGCCTTAAAATAACTATTAGTAGACTATATGGTACAAACATAATGATTATTCAATGAAATTAATGAAATGAGAAATGTATTTGAGATTACAAAGAAAAGGGTAAATTAAACATATTTCGTATGTTTAAAATATGAGGGATGAACACAAAAATACATAATATCATATCATAAAGCACATAAAAAATGTTCCGTGTTCTTTAGGCCACTTTATCTCTACTGAGCTATCTCTTATTTGAATTATTCCTAGTATATTTCATATTAGTAAACATATCAGTAAATATACCATACACAGATACCTTATTTTAGACAGTAAAATATCTTCATTGCACAAAATGAGAGAAAATACAATAGAACATGTTAGGGTAGATTTCTCTTTTCTGAGATGTATGCTAATTTAAAGGGCAAAGCTACCCCAAATTAATTTTCTTCCTAAGCATTTCCTTTCTAAAGTAACAATGCTCCTATTTAACAGGTAGTATCTGCGGAGTTGTGACCAACTTTAGCAGAATTTCTGTTCTTCCTTTTAAAAACAGAAAATGGTGAAGGTAAGACTATAACAAGGAACCCTGACTAAAACACAAGCCTTATTTTATACTGTAAATATATTTTAATTCAATTAAAGTATTGATCCCTAAGTATATTTTGAAATATTGACTTTTGACACTTTTACTGGCCACCAAATTTTATGTTTTACTATGGACAATTTTAAATGTTAAAAAAAATTGAAATGGTAAAACAAACTTACATATGCCATCATCTATTGCTCCAACAACTTCAGTTATTTTCTACACTTGCTGCACTTATTTTCTATGTAAATATTTAATGTTATATACTTTAAAAGAAAATTCTAGACTCCATAATGGGTATCTGTAGAAAAGTACAAAGTTGGTTTCCATCAAATTTTTCTTTAGTTTGAGACATTACTTAATAGAAATATAAATTAAAATTATTTATTTTCAACCACACTGCGATGATGCATAAATTTTAAGCTCTATTTAACATGTGCAAAGTATTAAAGATTCTAGAAGATTAAAGAAGACAAAGTGTTAAAAATTCTAAGTAGTTCACTTCCATTCAAATATATGACTCCATTTTTCCTATTCGAAATTACAATCCCAAAATACAGATAAAATTATGAACATTTTAATATTATAGAAAGAAATGGCAAACTTGTTTTAACTCGTTTCCTGTTCTACACTTAAATATTGCTGTTTAATAATCTAAATTCATTAGTATATAAATATAAATAAACTAATTCTGAATGCTGAAATCAGAAATGTAATCTGCCACTTAGATGTGTAAATACTTTATCCCAAGAGAGGGTTGGCAAGCTTCAAATATAGTAAAATATTTAAAACTCCAGAGTTTAATTTATAGTGCTTAATGCAATTTGTGTATAACTGGCAATAAGGCAAATTAATATTAGCGTATCATTATCACCATGCAATTACTTCCACTGATGTAGGCTAATATTCTCTGTCAGTATAAAATTGAAATAAAATTAGTAACACTGATGATACAGATTTGTAAGACTTTCACATAAGAACATTAGGAATTTAAATTTACATAAACATTAATACAGATACTAAACTAGTATGCTAATGAATCAATACATAAAATTAGTATTTTGGTTCCAAGAGCTATATTTTAACTTTTGTTTAATTATATTTTATACATAAACTTGCATAGGTGTACTTTAGGACTATGGAGGATTTAAAAATTTTATTTTAAATACAATTACCCATCTTTAACTTATCTACTTTTTTATGTACCTTGGAGTAAAGCATACCTTCAAAGTAACCATCTCTTCTGGGCTGTACCTTCTTTGGTGATTTTGTAACAGAAACTTTATTTTCACAGTTTTTAAATAATGCCAAGCATACAGTGGGATCTAGACAAACAGAGCAAGACAAAGTTCAGTTCTGGTTCATTCCTTCTTTGAAATGGCTACATATTTTTTAATGATAATATTAAAAAATAATACCCATTGAATAAGATTGTGAAACTGAGAATGATGCTATTTTTAAAAACTTCATAATATGAAACTGTAGCCAACAATTCATATATTCGTGGTTATCTGATTAAACACATAGCCAATACTTTTAAAGAGCAGAAATACTAATAATGTGAAAAACTTTACACTTAAATTTTCCAGTTATTTTCTTAAACTGGAAATAAACTATTTTATTTGGGCATCATCTTCTTACTTGTAGGGTTGCTTTACTATTTATTATTTTAGCTCCTTTCTTAAATTCCTGATATTTATAGAATAGTAATATTTTCAGAAATGCATTAAGAGGTAAAAAGCTATTATTACAGTAAAAGCCCTACACCCTACTTTTTGGTCCTCTAAATATTGAAGATAAAAGCAACATAAAAATATTGGAGATGAAAGCAAGACAACTAATGGGATGAGGAACAGACAGAAAGAGATTATTTCATTAGTTTACAGATAAGTTGACGGTTTCTCTTTTGCCCTAATGTGTTTTATTTATACAATAAAAAAGATGTATAAATTTCACATACTCTTCATAGCCAAGAGCATTCTAAATCTATTAATTTTACAAAATAAATAGATGATTATAAATTTAGGGCTTCACAGTATTTTCTTTTTAATTGGTAATGGATGGTTCTATGCAATGAGAATTGGAGATTCGGTGTAATTGAATTAAGACAAAAGGTCTTTGCTGGCAAAGAACTGTAAGAAAAGGAAATAGTGAACAGATTCAAGATGGCAGTGTGAGAGGTGAGACAGAGAACTCCTCCCAAAACCACATATAATATAAAAATATAGTTAATACAACTAATCCTAAAAGAGCAACAAGAAAGAAGGCTGCACCAGACTGCATACACCTGGAGAACAGAGCAGATCTCATGTAACAGGGTAACGCACCAAAGCCTCGATCTGGTGGGACCCAAGCCCTCCCCACCCGCCCACCCCCACCCAGCTCACAGGAGGGGGGAAGAGAAATGGAGCCGGGAGGGGGTGGAAGCCTAGGACTGCTGAACACGAAGCCCTGAAGATCTGCTTTGGGAGCACAGACCTACATGGCATGGTGTTCTGGAGATTTTTTTGTGGGGTTGGAAAGCTAAGACAGGCAGAATACTTGGAGAGACTGAGATTCCAGCCATGTGTGGAGGACAGGGATCCACATCCGGCTGCTCTGGGACAAAGGGAAGGCGGCGGTCTGAGAGGCTTCCCAGCAGTGAGAGGGCTGCTGAAGGGGTGGGGTTTGCAAGGAGCTTGCTGCGTGGGAGAAGGGAGAGGTGGACAAGGTTGTCTAGGCGTGCTCTGCCCAGCAGGTTGGGAACTTTCAGGAGCTTTAAGGGTCTATCCCCCCTGGGTGGCTACTCTGTTCCAAGGCCCCACACTATGACACACAGCCTGCTGCACCTTCCTCCTGGCCTGCTGGCACCGGCTCACAAACTGGCAGTCCCTGCCCAGTGTCAGGGCAGTCAGAGGGAGGCACCACCTATGGTAGCTACAGACACAAAGCACAGAGGTTTACACCTGTGTGCTCGGCCCACTGGTTCTGACAGTGGACACAGGCATTGCAGGCGGGAAGCAGAAAACAGCTCTTTCCTCCCCATAGGCACCAGCGCTGATCCTCTGCAAGCCCTGACAACGCTACAGGGGCTGAGCAGGTCCAGAGACTAGAGCTTCTGGGCACTACAGGGTGCCACATACAAATAGGAAATGTCAAAGGAAACTGGTACAAACAAAAACAACACAAACACCAGAAAAAGGGCCAAATGACACTAAACTCACCAATCTTTCTGAAAGAGAGTTGAATATAAAAATCATAAACATGCTCATGGAGGTACAGAAAAATATTCAAGAACTCAGGGATGAATTCAGGATGGAGACTCAATTATTAAGAAATTTCATATCTGAAATGAAACATACAAAGGAGGGATTTAAAAGCAAATTATATGTAGTAGAAGAGGCAGTAAATGGAATAGTAATCAGAGAACAGGAATACAAAGGAGGTGAGGTACAGAGAGAAAAAACGATCTCTAAGAATGAAAGAATGTTGAGAGAACTGTGTGACCAATCGATATGGAACAATATTCGCATTATATGGGTACCAGAAGAAGAAGAGAGTAAAAGGGATAGAAAGTGTCTTTGAGGAGGTAATTGCTGAAAACTTCCCCAATCCAGGGAAGGAGATACTCTCTCAGGACATGGAGGTGCACAGATCCCCCAAAACAAGGGACCCAAGGGAGACAACACAAAGACATATAATAATTAAAATAGCAAAGATCAAGGATAAGGATAGACTTTTAAAAGCAGCTAGAGAGAGAAAAAAAGATCACATACAAAGGAAAACCCATCAGGCTATCATCAGACTTTTCAACAGAAACCTTACAGGCCAGAAGGGAGTGGCATGATGCATTTAATGCAATGAGGCAGAAAGGCTTTGAACCAAGGATACTCTACCTGGCAAGATTATCATTTAAATTTGAAGGAGGGATTAAACAATTTTTCAGATGAGCAAAAGCTGAGAGAATTTACTTCCCACAAACCATCTCCATAGTGCATTTTGGAGGGGCTGCTATAGATGGAAGTATTTCTAAGGCCAAATAGCCATCACCAGGGGAAATAAAACCACAGCAAAGCAGAACAATTAACCACTAAGCAGGTGTAAAATCAAATCAACTACCCCCAAAGTCAATCAAAGGATAGATAAAGAGTACAGAATATGATACCTAACATATAAAGAATGGAGGAGGAAGAAAAATGAGGAAAAAAAGGAAACTTTAGGTTGTGTTTGTAATAGCATACTAAGTAAGTTAAACTAGACTATTACATAATAAGAGATTTACCCTTAAACCTTTGGTAACCACAAATCTAAAGCCTGCAATGGAAATAAGTACCTACCTATCTATAATCACCCTAAATGTAAATGGTCTGAATGCACCAATCAAAAGACTTAGAGTCACTGAAGAGATGAAAACTCAAGACCCATCTATATGCTGCCTATAAGAGACTCACTTCAAACCCAAAGACATACACAGACTGAAAGTAAAGGGATAGAAAAATTTATTTCATGCAACTAATAGGGAGAAAAAAGCAGGAGTTGTAGTACTCATATCAGACAAAATATTTCAAAACAAAGAAAGTCACAAGAAACAAGAAGGACATTACATAATGATAAAGGTGTCAGTCCAACAAGAGGATATAACTATTATAAATATCTATGCACCCAACACAGGATCACCTACATATGTCAAACAAATACTAACAGAATTAAAGGGGGAAATAGAAAGTAATGCATTCATTCCAGGAGACTTCAGCACACCACTCACCCCAAAGGACAGATCAAACAGACAGAAAATAAGTCAGGAGACAGAGGCACTGAACAACACATTAGAACAGATGGACCCAATGGACATCTATAGAACACTCCATCTAAAAGCAACATGATACACATTCTTCCAAGTGCAAATGGAACCTTTTCAAGAATAGATCATATACTAGGCCACAAAAAGAGCTTCAGTAAATTCAAAAAGATTGAAAGTGTACCAACCAGCTTGTCAGATCACAAAGGTATGAAACTAGAAATAAATTACACAAAGAAAACAAAAAAGCCCACAAAGACATGGAGGCTTAGTAACATGTTCTTAAATAATCAATGGATCAATGACCAAGTAAAAACAGAGATCAAGCAATATATGGAGACAAATGACAACAATAATTCAACACTGCAAAATTTGTGGAACACAGCAAGGGCCATGTTAAGAGGAAAGTATATTGAAATACAGGCCTAACTCAGGAAAGAACAGTCCCAAATGAACAGTCTAAACTCACAATTAACGAAATTAGATAAAGAAGAACAAATGAGTCCCGAAGTCAGTAGAAGGAGGGGCATAATAAAGATTAGACAAAAAATAAATAAAATCAAGAAGAATAAAACAATAGAAAGAATGAGTGAAAGCAGGAGCTGGTTCCTTGAGAAAATAAACAACATAGATAAACCCTAGCCATACTCATCAAGAAAAAAAGAGAGTCTACACACATAAACAGAATCAGAAATGAAGAAGGAAAATCATTATGGACACCATAGAAATACAAAGAATTATGAGGGAATACTATGAAAAATTATATGCTAACAAACTGGATAACCTAGAAGAAATAGACAACTTTCTAGAAAAATACAACCTTCCATGGCTGACCCAGGAAGAAACAGAAAATCTGAATAGACCAATTACTAGCAAGGAAATTGAACTGGTAATCAAAAAACTACCTAAGGACAAACCTGGATAAGATGGTTTCACTGCTGAATTTTAATCAAACATTTAGTGAAGACTTAATACGCATTCTCCTTAAAGTTTTCCAAAAAGTACAAGTGGAGGGAATACTCCCAATCTCATTCTATGAGACCAGCATCACTATAATACCAAAAACAGGCAAAGACACCACAAAAAAATAAAATCACATAACAATATCCCTGATGAACACAGATGCAAAAATACTCAACAAAATATTAGCAAACCAAATTCAAAAATACATCAAAAAGGTCATCCATTATGATCAAATAGTATTTATGCCAGGGATGCAAGGATGGTGCAACATTTGAAAATTCATCAACATCATCCACCACATCAACAAAAAGGACAAAAACCACATGATCATCTCCATAGTTTGTGAAAAAACATTCGACAAAATTCAACATCCATTCATGATAAAAACTCTCTCTCAACAAAATGGGTATTGAGGGCAAATACCTCAACATAATAAAGGTCATATATTACAAACCCACAGCAACATTATCCTTAACAGCGAGAAGCTGAAGGCTTTTCCTTTAAGATTGGGAACAAGACAAGGATGCCCACACTCCCCATTTTTATTCAACATAGTTCTGGAGGTCCTAACCATGGCAATCAGAC